CAAAAAAGAGGGAAAACTAAACTTCACCTGTTACCACAAACACATCAAATAACAAAAACTGGGAGGAAGGATGTTGTCCAGTGTTTCTGATTCACTGCCTTTCTGGGTCTACAGTCTTGTCGCCACTGATCAACTTAACTTACCTTTCAAAGACATTTTTCCACAAACACAATCTGAATATAGAATCATAGAATAGTTAGGGTTGGAAAGGAGCTTAAGATCATCAAGTTCCAACCCCCCTGCCATGGGCAGTGACACCTTGCTCTAAACCATATCACCCAAGGCCTCGTCCAACCTGGCCCTGAACACTACCAGGGATGGAGCATTCACAACCTCCCTGGACAACCTATTCCAGTGCCTTACCACCCTAACAGGAAAGAATTTCCTCCTTATATCCAATCTAAACTTCCCCTGTTTAAGTTTTAACCCATTACCCCTTGTCCTACCACTACAGTCCCTAATGAAGAGTTCCTCTCCAGCATCCCTATATGCCCCCTTCCGATACCGGAAGGCTGCTATGAGGTCTCCACGCAGCCTTCTCTTCTCCAGGCTGAACAGCCCCAACTGTCTCAGCCTGTCTTCATACAGGAGGTGCTCCAGTCCCCTGATCATCCTCATGGCCCTTCTCTGGACTTATTCCAACAGTTCCATGTCCTTTTTATGTTGAGGACACCGGAACTGTACACAATACTCCAAGTGAGGTCTCACGAGAGCAGAATAAAGGGGCAGGATCACCTCCTTCAACCTGCTGGTCACACTCCTTTTGATGCAGCCCAGGATATGGTTGGCTTTCTGGGCTGCAAGCGCACACTGAAGCCGGCTCATGTTCATTTTCCCATCAACCAACACCCCCAAGTCCTTCTCCACAGGGCTGCTCTGAATCTCTTTTCTGCCCAACCTGTAGCTATGTCTGGGATTGCTCTGACCCAGGTGTAGGACCTTGCACTTGGCATGGTTAAACTTCATGAGGTTGGCATCAGCCCACCTCACAAGCAAGTCAAGGTCCCTCTGGATGGCATTCCTTCCCTCCAGCGTATCAACCAAACCACACAGCTTGGTGTCATTGGCAAACTTGCTGAGGGCGCACTCAATCCCATTGTCCATGTCAGCGACAAAGATACTGAACAAGACCGGTCCCAACACCGATCCCTGAGGGACACCACTCGTTACTGGTCTCCAAATGGACATTGAGCCATTGACCACAACTGTTTGCATGCAGCCATCCAGCCAGTTCTTTATCCACCAAGTGGTTCATCCATCAAATTGATGTCTCTCCAATTTAGAGACAAGGATGTCGTGTGGGACAGTGTCGAATGCTTTACACAAATCCAGGCAGATGACATCAACGGCTTTACCGCTGTCCATCAGTTACCTATCTTACTCCTAACCTACCCTAAACTCTCTCTTCCATGGCACCTTGCATCACCACCCATGCAAAATTAACAGAGTGGATGGTAAGATATTCAGAAACCCTGTTTTCCACTATTCCCTTCAGCTCTAATCATACAAGTAGCTGTTGTTAGAATACCCTGGTTTGCAACTTTGCAAATCCACCTACCTGAATTTCATTTTTACACATAGTTTTACTACCTCTTTCCTTGAATATTTTAATTCCATTATTTTTCTTGGTCACAAGTACTGAGCTGATTCTTTGGGCCAGTTAGTGGGATTTGTATTTAGCTTTTTTGCACTTTCTCCTTAAAGGTGCGCTTACAAATTTAATTAAAAAAAAAAAAAAGAAAAAGAAATATGCTTAATGCATTACACTAGGGTTTTTTTTTTTAATCTACTTCAGGTGATTTGGGGATGTGTATTTTTATGCGATTTGTAATTATGTTCTTCAAGCACAAGTAAACATCTTAGCTCTTACTGACACTTTCAGCTTTAATTACAATATTTTAGCTTACCTAGAAGACACATTATCTGTAAAACCAAAGTTTAAGTGCCTGGCCATAGCTGCTACAAAATACAAACATTAAGCACGTGAAGTCCTGTCTCTAACAGAAAATTCTGCTTACTAGTTATCTCTTTCAGTGTTTTTTATAGTCAACTAAAAGGATGTCTTTCAATATTTTATACCAAATAGATATTTTTTAATTGCTTATGATTGTCTCTAAGTAATAAACAGTAGATTGTTGCCCCATATTCTTATTCTTTTGCACTTCCTGTTCTGCCTCAAGTATCTTCTAGCTTTTCCAGATCTATGCAAAAAAGCCCATTACAGGCAAATCTAATTCATCAGTCCAGAGCCTTCCTGACTTCCTTTCTCTAAAAGTTAATGCCTTATTCCCTTTATCCGTTTTCATCAATTGATATAGTCTACAAAGAATGATCAGTAAGCTTTACAGAAAACAATACACGTTTGTATTTTCAAGAAATACAGTTATAGAATTATTTTACACAAGCTTTGAATTATATATTTACATGTTAAACTAAGTATGGTCAGACCACAGCCACTTGGATTATTTTATGAACTCTGAATTCTATCTAGCGTCCACATCAGTCTGAGAAAAGATGAATAAGCACTAGCTGGGAATAAAAGGTCAGACATTGGACCGCCAACATACTAGCAAACATGCAAATATGACTTGGAGATGATCTTGCAAGAAATGATCAGAAACTTAACACTGGCTATTGTAAGAAGATACCCATGAAGGGAAGCTCTGTGTTAGACCTTGTGCAAACGCACAACACTTTTTAGGGCATGTAGCTGTAACAGTAGAGTGCTGAGCTCTATGCTGGCACTGTACAATGACATATAGCACCAAGTTAGTCTAATCCAAAACACATACAGGAAGTTCTGAGGAATTTCTTCACATATACCCACTGCCTGCTTCTTGTTCTTAAAGGCTGGTTACAACCAGAAGATAAGGAATCACCCACCAGTCTAGTTTATATCACTGCTGAAGTTTTCTTTCTCATACACCCATCATTTAACATTCTTACATTCGTCTTCTACTTTAAGCTACCGTATCTGCATAACTGACAGTATCAGCTCCCTTCACATACACTCTTTTTATCTGTATCCTCAGTAATGCATTTTCCATTTTTTTCATTATTTATAGTCTCTATTTTGTCTTATTCCCATCTATGCACCTGATCAGCAATGTATCTCTTATTAATATCTTATAGGTGTATACACGGCACTTCCAGTGACATGAAAGAAGCAATAGTGCCTTGCTCCATTCTTTCTGTAATTCCACGAGGTTTGGATGTGCAAGGTATAAAAAACCAGGTTTGGCCAGCTGGCCTGACCAAAAGGGATAAAGCACATCCTCCAACTGACTGTTGTTTATTTTGGCACTATAAAGGCCCAGTCAGCAATACAGAGAAACACCTTGGGCAAAAGGCGTTCGTAAAACAAAAAAAGAAAGACTTTATATTTGGATTTCTAAATGGCAGATTCAAGGTGGGGATTCAATTTCTGTATGAAAGCTTCCTCCTGAATTTTTGTGCCTCCAGATGGGAATAACACTGCCGACCTGCCCAAGTGCTCTAAGAGAGAAGTTGGGACTCAGTTCTTCTAAGTATCTGCATCTTTACATACCCTGTTTTGTGCTATTTCAGTGCCATTTTCCAGCTTTTCTCATGCAAATTATCTTAATAAACTGCACAGCTGTTTTATTCAGGCTTGCAATGATTGGGAACAGTAGAGATGCATACTTTAAACTTCTAAGTCAATGATGCAGTACATGGGGAACTCATTTTACAACACAAATAATAATCAGGTCTCACTTTGATCCAGTTGATGTAAAAGGCCTGTTGTGTAAACGCAGCTGTGTTTCTGTGAATCTCATGTATGATGAAGCCTGCTGTACCTGTAAATACTCATTTCTAAACCTTCATGTATAAACTACTGACTAGGAAGACTCTGCTTGGATGTTCGCAGCCAAGCATGCAAGGGAATTATTTTTTTTACATGTTCACCTCGATAAATCCTACATATACAAGTCATATTTTGAGGATAACTGCCAGGAAATCTTAGGATACTTGGCAGAAACTGTCAGAAAAAGTGATCTTAGGACATTTCAAACGGCAACTGTGCCTAGCTGCAGTGGGGAAGAGATTTTTCAGACTGCTGGGATCCAGGAAAAACCAGGTGTTTCCTCACTTGCAGTTCCCGGACCTGGCTGGATCCAAGAATTTTCTCACGGGGTAATTTCTCGATCTACCCAATCCAGGTGTTTTCAAGCGAAACATCTGCGGGCTCCGCAGAGCCCAGGTGCTGCCCAACGGGCCGGCTTCCGCGGGCCCAGGAAGCTCAGCCTGGCGTGCTAGTATCCCGAAGCTGGCTTCTCCCTCCGCGTATCCACCACACCCGGCGGAAAGCGAGTCTTCTACGGGACGGCTGCTTGGGCCGCGGCGGCGGAGGGTATGGCTCCCTCCCAGGGACAACCCCGCGTCCCCGGCCGCCGCACAGAGGCGCCGGGGCCACCCCGAGGCAGCGGGACCGCCCCTGTCACCAATTTCCCCCGCATGTCCTGTCAGAAGGGGGGTCGGGCCGCCCCCCGCTGAGGGCCGGTGGCCGCAGCTGCCACGTCCTGACCTCCGGGGAGACAGTGGCTCGCTGCAGAGCGAGTTCCTCTTCTACCGGCGTTCTTTTCTTTGCAAAGGGGGCAGGACAGTGCTCAGCCGGAGAGCAAAGTTCAGCCGCGGCGGAGGCAGCATCGCGGCGGGGAAGACACAGAGGGGCCCCACCGCGCCCTCACCCTGGCCCGCGGGCGGCTCCGCGGCAAGCGCCCCGCTCCGCACCTGGCCGCGCTGGGGGCGCCGCGGCCGCGACTCCTCTGGCGCGCCCCTGGTGTACCTGCCCCCGCGCATCACCTCCGCAGCGGGAGGCCGGGACAGCGCCGGGGCCCGCGCCGGGGCCGGGGTCGCGCGGCGGCCGCGGAACTGCCCGTCCCTTGCCCGTGCCCCAGCGACAGCGGACCCTGCCCGCCCCCCCCCCCCTTCGGCCCCGCCGCTGGCGCCCGCTCCGAAGTAGTTGTAAAGAGGGTTACCTGTCCTATATTGACGTAACCGTATTTGCTAGCTATCCTGTTGGCCTCCGGGAGCCCCCCAGTTATCCGAACAGCCCAGTGGTTGGTGTACAGACGCGTCCTGCAGGCGGGCAGCAGAAACCCCAGCACCAGGGTGAGCCGGCAGAGAAGGTCCCCGCCGCCTCCGCCTCCCCAGCAGCAGCGGCTTTTCCAGCCCATCTTCTCCTCCTCCGCACGCAACCCCCACAAAACTTCTTCCTTCTTCCGAGGCTCTTCTGCTCACCTCCGGGCGGCACCGGCGGCGCGTCCTCCGAAGTTACCCCAAGGAGGAAACTAGGAAGAGCTTGGAGTAGTGCATTGAACCGCCCGGGGGTTAAATGATGAAGGGTTGGGAATAATGGTTATAATCGGTGATTGCTGCTGTCCCCTCCTCCCGCCGCTCTGCGGGGATTAAGTAACTTGCTTGGAAAGCTTCTCTCACAGTTTCTGAGCGCCAGCTTCTCCCTCTGTCCCCAGCTATATGGGAAGTCGTCTCTCCGCGGGGAGGAGGGCTCCTTCTCCCTCTCCCTGCGCTCCCCTCCTGTCTTCCTTCCCCTGCTAGCGGTCTTCTGCCTCCTCTCCCGCGCCTGGCTTTCCCTCGCCTTCCCTCTCGCCCGGGGTCCGCGAACAGCGCGGCTGCGGCAGCAGGCGATGTGTGAGTGTTGGCAGCTGAACGGCTCAGTTCACTCCGGCTCCACCACCTCCTTTTCCCCTCCCTTCTCCTCCTCTTTCTCCGCCTCCTCCGCCCGCCCTCGCTCCCGCCCGGCAGCGCCGAGGGCCAGGGGAAATGGCAGCCGTGCTGGCTTCGCGCTGTGCCGACACCCGCGATCCTGGGCCTGCGACTACCACCGGCTCCTGGCGCCGCCGCCACGAGAGCTGCCCCTCGGCCTGCCACACTGGGAGCCCGCTGGCGGGGAAGCGGGGGCCACGTCAAGGTGCGAGGCCTGCGGCAAGGCCTCGTGCCCGGAACCGGTTGCGGCCCTCGGCCCTCCTCCCGCGGAGTGCCAGGGCCGAAGAGGGGCGTTGGGAGGGCGGCAGCTGCCCCTGTCGGCCCCGGGGGAGCGGGCAGGGGTGGCCGGTGGGAGGCGAACAGCCTCGATAGCTGTTTTACGGGCGCTCACGGGTTCGCACTGCGACCCCAGGGAGTCGGAAGGCCGTAACATAAACGTTGCTCGACTTCACTTAACGTTGAACTGGCTTCCAGAGTCCGTGGTCGCCCCGTTCAAAATAAGAAGCGGGCGAGAGCTGCTTCAACAGACGAGTGGTGGTTCAGGCAAGGAGCACGGCCTCCTCGGTGGTCCGTCGTCACCGTCACTGTGCAGCATGGCCATGCGCTCTGCCACCTTGCAGGGAAACGCTTCAAGCAGCAGGGTGCGTACAGCAGGCCCTAAAAACATAACGGCTGCAACAGAGGTGCCTGCGTAGAAGAAAACTCGTCTTTGCCCAAGCTGTAGCTTACCGGACTAAACCTTAGAGCCCCTACAATGGCTTTGGACAACCTATAGATCTACTCCTTTTTATTTGAAAGTTAGTGTCTGTAAAATACAGTTGAGCAAACCCACTGTGAGGATCCGTTACATGTTGTGAGGAAATTTGAACACAAGAAGCACTGTTGTAATGTACTAATGTAAATACTGTGGTTTATTTTCTCTGAGGAGCCTACGGTGTCCTACAAAGTCAGGCAGCTATAATTCTCTTTTTCACGAGGATGTGAAGTACGAGAAGTTAAATGCTTTCCTTACTGTGTCATACAGTAACATGGAGTTTCTTTTTTGCGTCCCCCAAGACCTGTGCTCCTGCCTTTAAAACCACTTTTTTCCTAGTAAGTAGTAAAATGCAGACAGCTGAAACCACATGTTCCACTTTAAACCATTCTTTGCCTTAAGTTCATTAATTTCCCCCTTAAACATCAGTATTATATTAGTGACTAACATCTTCCTCCATCCTGTGTTTTTACAGGGGAGAAAAGGGGGAAGGCGATTCTCTACCTCCCTGTTTGTCTCCAAAAATTTCTTTGCCAATGATTAACTTTTCCCTGTTAGTGTTGTTTTTTCGTTTTGTTTTCCTGTAGTTTGCATGTCACTTGCTCAGTGTAGGACAACATAATGTTGTACAACTCCTGTCTGTAGATTCAAGACCTCAGTGAGGCTCACCTTCCCTGGGACTTCACAGATGATAGCTCACTGCTTAGCAGATAATTCTTCTCCTGAAACCACAACACTCTCATCGGATTCAGCAGGAGCATTGTTATGCTGAGGTTACATCTGGCAGCTAATATTCATAAATACACATTCATTGTATATGACATTAAATCTCTAGCAATTAGCCCTTCTTATTGATTGGTTCAGTGACAATTACAAAATATAATTCCTGTATCTGAACTTCGAGCAGTCTCAGGTGTGGTTTCTGTTGTTTTTTTTCTGATGACGATAAATTAAAAATCTACTTTCTGATCTTTTTTCAGTTAATTTTATTGTTGTTTTGACTTTTATTTCCTGCTATAGATGGTGGGGTTTTTTTTTCCTGGTACAGAAGGCACAGACTACAAGCAGAAATTAAAGCCGTACCGTCATGTACCTACTTCGAACTTGGCTTGTGCGACAGTGTTTTATACTCCTGTACCAAAGCCTCTAGGAGCCAGTAGACTTGATAAATACATCATTGTCCCCATGTATCTTTTCTTAATGATGCATTGAATCACATAGCCTAACAAAAATGTTGTTAAAGTTGTGCTGTGCCTAAAAACAGCCTTTGAGAAAGGAGGGATGTAATATCCACAGGCATTTTTTCTGTGACTATAGAGTCCCCTTTGCTGAGGCCGCTGAGGCCACTGAGGCAGATGGCAGTCATAGCTATTGTAGGAGGAGCACACTAGTCGTAATGTGGAGTGTTTGAACTTGTTTCAGCATGAGCCCTGAAATACAGTTTTGCTGAGTGCCTCACCACATCCACATCCTTAGGGGAGGATGCGCTTCCACCCCCTCCCCATGAAAAAAAGAACAGCAAACCACCCCCCCCAAAAAACAAAAACAAAAACCAAAACACCCAAACCAACCAGCCAAACAAACAAAACCTAAACAAACAAACAATGTCAAGTGGCACCTGTGGCACATTCTAATTTAAGCTGTTTCTTTCTGACTCAGCTAGGAAGTATGCTGGGACTAGGTGACCACTGAGGAAAGTGTCAGCAGTCGCATAGCTTTATTCAGCATACCGGCTGTATGTGGCCTGCATGTAGCTGGTAGTTGAGCTTGCTTCTATACTCTGTTGGTGGCCAGATAGCTTGTCTATACAGACCACACTCAGTGTTTCTTTCTCCCCTGAGCAAGGGAACTAAATTGATCCAGTTCATCACTGCTGTTACAACCGTGTACCTTTTATCTGTTTACTATGAAAACAAAATAAAATCTGGATGACAGCTCAGAATGCAAGTTTCCACATGTTTTTGTCTTGTCCTTTGCTTCTTGATGGCTAATCCCTGAATCCATTTTCTCTTGTTAGTTCCAAATGACTGTGATCCAGGATCTGACCTCAGTCTCTGTGTTTGCTCTCCTCTTATTTGGTCTAATTGTCTTTTTTCTCACTATTTTGCCTACCTAGTCTTGAAATTGTTCTTTTCTTTCTAGTCCTTTCCCAGCCTGAAAATACCTCTGGCTCACTAGCTCTGGCAGCCTCTCTGCTGTGCTTCATTTCAGCTTTCCAGCACCTTTCTGTGAGTTTCACAGATCAGTGCCCCAGAGATGTGTTAAGCACCCCAAGCTCATGATTAAGAAGGAAACCACGGAGGCACCATATATTCAGAGTCCTCCAGTAAAACGTCCTTTAAAGCAGACATGTTGGCCCCTGGAGGCCTTCTGGAACAGAGAAAGTTTTTAGAAGGAACTAGGCATATACGTTCATCAGCTTTTGGAATGGCAAAGTTTGGACCATGGTAGGTCAAAGAATACTTTTCAGTGAAATCTTCAAAGAATGGAGGTTGTGTCACTGAGGTTGTGTCATTTAGAGTTTGCCTTAGAAAGATGGATAGTTTTGGAATCTAAAGGAGTATTCAGATTTCCTTAGTGTCAACCATAACTGTTTTTTATAAACAGTGCAGCTACGTCGCTTGACATCAGGCACTATACAATGCAACTTGCTGGTATACAGTTCTTTGATCTGCATTTTTCTGTGCTTTGGGCTTGCCTCTGATTTTATTTACTTTTAACTTCAGCTGGTTTTGAAAAGAATAAAGTTAAGTTTGGGTGTTTGGTGGTTTGGTTTCTTTTTTTGCTTGGGTTTTTTTTTGGGGGGGGTGGTAGTTTTGGATTTTGTTTTTTTTGTTTTTTTTTTACTAAAACTTGGTTTTGTACATATTAGGACTTTTTCATTGACAGATACGCCCCTCTTTATACTTTGAAACAGGATGTGATCCCTGTTTTGAGTACATTGGTACAAAAAGCCAAATTCTGAGTAACAGATTTCACCTGTACCTTAGACACTTATTTGCATTCAGCAGCCAATACCTTGAGACTGCTCACCCTCACTGGGCATACCTCTTGCTGTTCCTAGTATGTAGAACATAGGGTGTCTATCTTTTAACACTGTGTGCAGTCCACAGCAAAATGCATGACTTCTCTGCAGCAATTGCTGCTCCCACGTCTTGTTGGTCACTGTGGGATTGAGTGCAGTAATTGACAGCAGTCTTCCCTGAGCCTTCTGGCAAAGTGGAGGACAAAAGGCTTCTGCCCTGAATGTAAGACAAGAAACAGGGTGGGTGGAAGTACTCAACTGGGATAAAGAGTCTGGGGCAGGAGAAAGGAACAGAAAGAAATTGGGACGGGGATTTGGCAGAGCAGTCTTCTGCCCAGTGTGCTCCAGTCCAAGCCTTGGATTTTCCCTGAGCAATTTAATGGCAGAAGTTCAGTGATTCTTGTAAGGAAATAAAGGGCAGGGTACTTTATTTCCTGTCTGTTGCTAGTGAAGAAATAGAATTTGAGTCTGAACCTTGGAATAAGCGTGAGTCTGGGCTTTTCCTGATTGCGGATATTTGGACTGATACTGCCTCATTCTGTTACCGTATGGATTTAATTTGTTTTTATAGTTAAGGCTGCACTGCATATTTTTCCATTCTGTTCACCCTGTGCTTTCTCTTATCTTTCCTTCTTTGATTGTGTTTATTGTCTTTTGAAGGATTGATTCCCATCTCATTACAGTTCTGACCATACTGGCTGGCATAATTTGAAAAGATGCTAGTGTTAGTTGCAAAACTATCTGAAGAAACTTGTACTGACACCTGTGCCAGCAGCTTGTCTGTCATGTTCACATTTGTGCATGTCTTTGATTGTGCTGAAATGTAAACTGTGTCATTAACGTAATGGTAACTTGCATCTTTAAATTTTCCTTTTCTTCCTGTTTGTTTGTTTTTTATTTCAGAAATACAGGTGACAGTACAAATAGCTGTACTAACTTTACTGGCAACCCGTAGAGCCTAGCTAGAATGAATTGCTAAGGCACGGAGAGAAAAGAAGGGTGGTAGCAGCAGGAATCTTTTTTAGCTGGCTTCAGTGCCTGACCCAGCATCCTGTGACACTAAATCCTGAGTTCTTTATGGAATAACTACTGCACATATTCCCTCTCCAAGTTCTCATTGTAAAGTTTCAAATATAGAGTCTCCAATACACACAGAAAGTGGGCATCAAAAGAT